CGCCTACAACGAAGGTCTTCCCGGAAGACCAAGAGGTGTAGTCGACGCCGGTGGACCAACCGGCGGTGTCGCCAACCGTGTGGACAGTGGCAAAGGTTGGGATAGCCATGGAAATGGCAATGGTGGCCAAGGCAAAAAATGCAGTTTTGAAGGAGTAAGCCATTGGAGTTGATGATGACGGGGGAGGGAGGGGGTTAAGCATTTATAGAATAGAAGGTGGGAGTGGGTTAGGTTCATGAATCATGTAGATTCCATTGGTGGAACCAAAACAAATAAGAAGGGTTCGTCGAATTGGTGGAGGAGATGATGGGAGTCAGCTCAAAAAGGGAGAAGTAGGTGTACTGGTAATCAAGCGGTTGGGTCACCGCCCCCAAATTCCTAACGCACCAACTTAATTAACCAAAGTGGGTTTATTAGAGCTTCTCTGCTGCCCCCAACCACCCTACTGCTCCATTGGCTATATAAAATTTGGGAACCTATGAGTGCTAGCTCGACGAGTCAAGTGGGTCCATGCTCACATCTATGAACCATATGGAGAGAAGTACTACAAATTCAATATTACTCGGACTCGAAAGTTGTCTAAGGCTATGTTATGATGATATCGACCCTAACAATACGGTTTATATACTTTAATAACACTAAATTAATAAAATAAAATAAATAATCAATTAAACATCCATTTATTAATATAACCATTACATTTATTTGGATTATTTCATAATTGGATTCATATTTAAAATAATAATTAGTATATTATTATAAATATAATATTTGAATATTTGATTGAAGAGGTTGGTCTAGGGTTTGGGTTTTGCGTCGCCTTCTTTACTTCCTCCTTTCTTCTTAATTAATGAGCTCAACCCGTCGTCAAATTTCTCCACCTGAGGTAATTTATATTTAAAATAAATCAAATTATAAATAATAATAATAAATGATTGAATTATAAGGAAAATTAATAATTACAATATATATAATAACTAAATCCCACCATAAACAGTCATTTGTAATTATTTATTTATGTGACGAAAACGTCTTTGACATTTTAAAAGTTAGAAAAATGAAATTATAAAAGTTTAATTTGAATTTTGAAAATTAATTTTAAGTTTTAATTTTCTAGTTCAAGATTAAATTAATTAAAATATTTTTGAATCTCATGCTTTATTTTTCTCGATATTTTAAAATTTTTCATTAATTTTTTATTTTTTTTAAAAAAAATTAAAATATACTTAAACAAATACATATTTTAATATTTTGTTTATTCAATACCCAAATTTCAAAACGTTTAAAAATGCCCTTACAAGTTTAAAGATATTATTAATGATTTTTTAAAAAATCAAAGATGTTTTTAAAACACTGTTAAAAGTTTAAGAATATTTATCAAATCGAGTCTCCTTTTAAAGGGGAAAGGCCTTCGCATTCCTAATTCAGTGGGGCCAGATGACTTTGTTTGTCCCAGCTTGACATTGTTTGTGCACCACTTACCATTCTCGCTTAGTGTTTGCAACAGTTGGGGAGGCGATCGTATTAGCAAATCCTATCACCACGCCGACCATCAAATACGACCTTCTCAAATATTTGACGAAATGACCCCAAGAGCACTTATGTCACGAGAAACAATCCTTATGGTTTTAATATCTATATCTATATATATATATTTTAAATTTAGTCTATGTTTCAAAAAGATTTTATAAAAATAGAAAAAATTTATAAAAATATCAATAAAATAAGGTTGTGAGCTAAGAAAAAGTGAAGAGATGATGTGGAGTGGTAAGTTCGGAGAAAAGGCCTAACCTTGCCGATAATTTCCGCCGCCAAATTGGCGTCCTTAGCAACGGTTTCAGCTGTATTTTCCACTAAAACTGCCGTTTTTTGGAGTATGCTGTCTTTGGGGAGATGATCGACAATCTCTTCCGACACCTTATCCACTTCCTTCGCCGCCGTCTCCACCATATCTACCACGTCCTCCGCCACATGCACCACCTTCTCCACTCTCTCTACACAAATTCAACACAAATTATGCATAGCAAAAAAAAAAGAAACAGTGTTAAAATTCATCATTATATTCCTCACGCTTCAACATAAGAAAAGGCCCCCAATATTTGGTCGTCTTCCAAATGGATAGAATTGCCGATAGCACCGCCCCAGCTACCCACAATGGCCTGCCAAAAACAACACTCTGTAATTTTCCACCTGGAAAATACGAGAAAAAAATTAATTCAAACATAATTTAAATACCAAGGAGTCAAAGGGGGAGGAGGAGGCGGCTGAGGAAGGGGAGATCCAAGGCCGCCGCCGCCGCCGCCGCCGCCGTAAACCGCCATGTCTCTGTAAGTCGTGATATGGGTGACTCTGTTTTTGGGAATTGTGCGTGGGAACGGCAAACTGTTGGCTTTGTGAAGGAGATGGCTGAGGTTAAGGTTTGATCCATGGCGGCGGGACTGGACGGTGGAACGAAGGCTGGCTGAAGAGTAAGAAACCGAAACGATCGACATTTGTGAAGGAATGGGATTGGTGAATTATGAATGCTTATGGCGCAGAGAATTCAAATATATGAGCTTTTCAAGTTACCCTACCTAACTCGTTTATTGATTCTTATATTTATTGCTTCACATTATTTCTAAAGAAAAAATGGGTTTAAAATGTATATTATATGCTTTGAATTCTACGTCATTGGTTTGGGGGCGTTTGGCCTACCAAGTCGGGGTTGCGTGAAGTTGTATAAAAAACTTAATTCCTTATTTGTTTCACAGCTCAACCCCGACTTCAAAACTCATTGTCGTAAGCCTATTGCTAATAACTATTGCCTACTTTATTTCATTGCTTATTTTCAGAGTTTAAGGAATCTTTTGTTCTCTCAAATCGAGAAAAAATCTCACAATTTTTCATTCAAAATTTGTCAGTTTAATAATATAAGCATTATTATTATTATAATAATATAAGGTGTTATAATTGTGTAACAAATATATGTTTGCACTAAATATAAGTTTTATATTAATTAAATGATAAAATATTGAGTAACAAAATGGTCAGAAATGTTTATTTTTATATTAAGAGAAAAATATATTTTTAAAATTTTGTTTAAATAAGTATAATTTTCATTTAATTTTTGTATTTTTTTAAATATGAAAAATATTCTAAAATCTCAATTTTGGTGGGCCGAGCCCACATAATTGGGCCCAAACTAGTCTTTGCAGCTCAGAAAAGGAGCCATATTTCAGAGATAATGAATTAGTTTTTCAATTTTGTTCAAAATCTACCAAATACCTTAATAATTTTTAATAGTACGTATTTGGTATCATAATATAAATATAATGTCAGGATCGCTCAACAACGCACACACTCGATTTAGATAAGAACACAAAAAACAGAGAACGTTGGCTAAAATTTGTATTTATTACAGAGAAAACATACCGAATATAGAAAATTACATATGGTTTAACTTACTATATATAGCTTTGAATATACATAATACAAAAAAGTACATTTTCAAGCTTTGTGGAGGAATATATATGATTTAACTTACTATATATGGTTTTACCAGAAATAACTATCTACGGCATATAACTGTCTGCCATATATCTTTTGTCTGCTAAGCTACCAATTTGACCAACTTATGGGCCCACAAAGTTGGAAAAAAAAAAAACGTTGTAATTTATATATATATAAATAATGTACTAGATTAAAATTTTTAATTGGCACTATTTAAATTTTAATTTCACCCACTAATCTCGATCAAGACATACTACCAAATATTGCTTTAACTTGATAGACATATTTAAATATTTTTTTTTTCTTCTAAATTATGAATAAAAATAATCTTAGATGATTAGTACAAACAACNCTCGAAAAGTTAATCCAATCCAACCCAACCCAACAAATTGGGATGGTCCATGTTGTCGGATTGAATGTACACCCCTAATATGAATCGTAACCTCACTTTCATAAAATTATGAATTTTTAGATAAATTAATTCCTAAAATATGTGACTTTTAACTTTTAATTTTACAGATTTAATTCATAATCTCATCTCTTAATTATTATCTAAATACAAATTTAAGCTAATATAGTCAAAAAAAAAAAAAAAAAAAAAAAAAAAAAAAAAAAAAAAAAAAAAAAAAATTGTTTTTTTTTTTTTTTTTTTTTTTGCGTCCGGAGAGAATCGTCTAGCTTAAGTGTTACGAGTTAAAGGGTAGTTGGTAGTAACATAAATTAATTTATACGACAAATTCTTAGTCTTGATTACTATTGAGTTTAATTTAAATGTTTGAAAATTGAACAAAGTCTTGCGTTAGCTGGGTAAGAGGAATATCACGCGTAGATGAGGATTGAACTCAGTATAAAGAATGTTCGCCCACTCAAGCACACTGCTAATAAATATTGTCTTGTTTGAGTTTTCTTTCAAACTTCCCTCGAGATTTTAAAATACATTTGTTGATGAGAGGTTTTTACACTCAGTATAAACAATATTTTTTTCCTTCTCAAACCGAGATGGGATCTCACAATCCACTCCATTCGACACCTAGCATACTCGCTGACACTTGTTTCTCTCTCCAACTGATGAGAGATCTCAAAATATAGGTTTGAATTGAGATATAACAGTTTTGAATGTTGAATTTTGATGTGACGGTCATGTTTGTCCAAAGTTTGTTGCCTATGGCCACATGGCAGATACTCTAGTCTTGTTTGTACGAGTCGGATGTCATGGTTATACTTGTCCAAAACATGTTGTTTATTGTCGCATGATAGATATCCCAGTCTTGTTTGTTCGAGTTGGTTGACAAGAACATCAATCAATTGAGTGGTAGAAGATGTCACGAGCATGCAACCATAGACACAATGAGATATTGTGTGTAAAATAATTGGTATGAACTCATCAAAAACTTAAAAAAATCATGGAAATAAAATGGAAACTAAATTCATATTATTGTAATAAAATTGAGATTGAAATTTAACCTAATTGTTATGGTGGAGGATCTTAGTCGTCGTTTAATTACTGTTTATTTCATTTCTTCAAACCAAAGAAATTCAGAGATCTTCATTTTTCCTTCCATTCCTCTGTTTCTCTCTCAACATTCTAAGCTTCTTCAGAGCTCCCCTGCCATGGCGGTCGGAATTACCAGAAAGCTTTTCCCCGTCGAAACCGGAACTCATCAACAAAGCTTCAATTGTTCTGGCTGCCCTTACGATTGCCCTTTCGACTGCTTAGATCTCCCAGATTTCTACTTCTCGCCGCCGCCGCCTTTTGGCGACCACCAAAAACAGCTTCCAACTATAGTCATCGTCATACTTGCTCTGTTCGTTGGATTTTTCTTCACTTTTAGTTTCTACATCATTATCGTAAAATGGCAAGCATGGCGTAGCGGCTCCGGCAACCAAGGGGCGGAGGCGTCGCAATTGGACGGCGAAGATGGAGAATTTCTAAACGAGAATCAAGTCGATCATCCCATTTGGTTCATAACCACCGTGGGGCTGCAGCAATCGATCATCAACTCAATCACAGTTTGCAAATACAAAAAAGGTGAGGGCTTGATCGAAGGAACAGTTTGCTCTGTTTGTTTGAATGAATTTCAAGAAGACGAAATGCTCCGGCTGTTGCCCAAATGTAGCCACGCGTTTCATATTGGGTGCGTTGATACTTGGCTGAGGACTCATACCACTTGCCCACTCTGTCGAGCCCATATTCTTACTGATTTTGCGACCTCCAACTTCCCTAGGCCGCCGAATTCGGGTCATGTGAATCAAAACGAAGCTAATTTGGCTGTAATTGAGGAGACCCAGATGGAGAATTTGGAGGGGGAAGAACAGAGTGCTGTCTCCGGCGGCGGCGGAGTTGAAAACAGAGGAGATGCAGTTGATGAACAGAGAGACGTTGGGGTTCCTCAGATTGGGGAGATTGTTCCAAAAGAAGGGGTTTTTGAATCGGATGATTCTAAAATGGAAGTAAATGAAACAATGATGAACTGTTCTTCTGCAACATGATCTGAACCAGATTGGGTCGATTCAGAGTATCGAACAGGGTGAGCCCAGTTTTTGTGTATGAATTGAAAAGAACAGCTTCTGTTATTCATTGAATGGGTTTTGGGTTATGGGTTCGATCCTCTGTTTTGATTCTTTCGTGTTCTTCATTTTCTCAGTGGGTATTATTATATTAAGCTTTTTTCATCATTATCTTAATCCATAATTAATTAATGATTAAGTTAAATACTTTTGATTTGAGACCTCGTACCAAATAATAAGGTTTGAAATAAATGGACTTCACTCTGGGCCCAAATACACTAAACGGCCCAAGTTCAATCTTTTATGGACTTCGCTCATGATTAGGCCCGCAATAGGCCCAGCCCAATAGAAATGTACCCTCTTAATTATATCTGCATTTCGCTAAACATTCTCACAATATGCAGTTAATTTTGAATTTAATTTGCATTAAAATGTTTTTCCTCAAAATAGTATAATACAATTTTCATCAAAATCTGTAACAGCTTAACCTCATCTCCCGTAGATATTGTACTGTTCAAGCCTACAGTTAGTAGACGATGTTTGTTTTGGTCGGTTATGTATCACTATTAGCCTCACGGTTTTAAAACGTGTCTACAAAATAGAGTTTTCCACACATTTATAAGGAATATTTCATTTCCCTCCCTAATTGATATGGGATCTCATAATCCACTCTCCTTAGAGACTGAATATCCTCATTGGCACACCACCCGGTGTCCGGCTTTAATACCATTTGTAATAGCCCAAGTTCACTGCTAATAGATATTGTCATACGTATCACCGTCAGTCTCACAGTTTTAAAACGCATCTACTAAGAAGAGGTTTCCACACTCTTATAAGGAATGTTTCTTTTCGTTCCCCAACTGATGTAAGATCTCATAGTCCACCCCTTGGGAATCCAATGTCATCATTGACACACCACCCAGACTCTATACGATTTGTAACAGCCTAAGCCCACTGCTAATAGATATTGTTCACTTTGGCCCATTACATATCTCCGTAAACCTCACAGTTTTAAAACGCATCTACTCAAGAGATGTTTCCACGTCTTTATGAGTAATGCTTAGTTTCCCAAACATGGGATCTCACAAAATCACACGAGATTAACCAAAGATTTCATCAAACTCCAACCAACCTAGCTCGAAGACAATTGACAATATGGCCAACTTCTCTTTCAAGTTCAAGTTCAAGAACACTTTCATTTTTAACTTCTCTTCGTCGGCCTTTCTCGAGCTTTTGACCTATTTCGTTAGGTCTAATTTTACGGTAGCGAACGTAGAGTAAGAATAATCGAAACATAAGGAAAGACAAAATGATTTAAAGTTTTGTGAGTTGGTAGAAGATAATTGGATATAAATTTGCTAGATTGTGAGAACAACATGATGTGGTTGAAAGGAATATTGTACTGTTAGGTGTGGTATCCATATTGTAAGCCATGGGGCCCCCATCTCTCTTACTCCCATCTTTTAAATTCTTCAAACCCATAATCATTATTTTCTGTCTCTTCATCTTCTCATCATTTCATCTCATGACTATAGATTAACTTTTACTAAAATCTGGGATCTCTGCAATTCATTGCTAACCCTAAACATGCATAATTGCTTCCTTAATTCATTCAAACCCTAAATTATGGCTATCAGTATCATGCACTGCCATGTTTTTGGAATGTTCTTGAGAAATTTTATGATGTAAGTTCTTATGTTGTTCTAGAGCGTTGGTTTGTTCGTTGTGAAATGAAATCTTTGAAGAAAAAAAAATTGTGTTTTTATGATTAGGGTTAGTGTGTATATTATTGTTCAAACTTGTGACCTAATTTGTAAACATCAAATCTCAAAATAAATAGATTTTTCTCATTTGAATCAAAGAAAATAGCTAAATAATTGCCGGTTGGTGTTTGGAATCGTTCTTGTTTTGTATAGATATGGTTGGTTGGTAGAAATCTCTTTATATGAAAATTCAATGGTTTGTTTGATCGAAATAAGTTCGTAGCATCTCGAGCTTGCTGTTAGGATCATTGTCAGCCTCATGATTTTAAAACGCGTTTGTTAGTGTTAGTGAGAGGTTTCTATAAAGAAATTAAGAAAAAAATAGATTTACGATCATTGTTCTCTTTGACTTTTGATAAATTTTGTAGGAATATAAAGGTTCGAACTTTTTAATTAAACCTAAGATGTTTGGACGAGTTGAGATTGAAATTATGTTCATTCTCTTGCATGGAAAATTGTGGGGGATACCATAAGAAACTGAACAAAGAAATTACATTAAAGAAAGAAAAAAAAAACAGATTAAATTGTTTACTTTCTTTCCAAAAAGGTGTCAATTTAAAGCAGCTTCCTCTTGAATAAACAGCAGAATTTGATTCACAGCTGCAGCAATTTCATCCACCGTATTCAACTGACACCCTTCTTCAACCTTCAAAAAAAACACCCAAAATCCAGAAATTAAGAGCAACCCATGTCTTAAAATCCAAAAAGTTTCAAACTTCGAGCTATAATTACCTTAATGCTTAGAGAATAAAGAACCATTTGATCTGAAGTAGTGACATTGAGATGAAGAACAGTGAGTCTCAAGCTTTGAAATCCAGCGACCATTTTAAGGAGCTGTCTTGGGCGTTTTGGCGACAGTATTTTAAGGTTGGCATGGGTATCAATCATGGTGACTTCAATATCTCCGGCCGGCCACTGGGTATGAGCGATGGATGAGTCATGCGCCGTGTTCTTTGTTGAGTATTGAGGGAATGAAAAGAATTCAGCAAAAGGGGAACCGCCATTTTCGATTGTGTTCTTATGGGTGTTGATGAACTGCAGTTGTTGCTCTAATTCCTTGACAAAATTAATGGCGCCACCAATAATGGAAGCTTGGTCTCCCTGCTATGATATACAAATAATTAGGCTTACGACATCAAATTGTTCTGTCGTGAAATTGAAGTCATTGAACAGTAATTTCGGGCAGTACTTTTTGTCATTATCATTATAATCTCTCTCCTTTCTAAACAAATTGACTGACCCTTTGAACGTAAGACGACGGCATTAATGATCGGAGAATCGCCAGATACTCATTCATTTGTTTCCGACGGTTGCGCTCCACCGCGATATGTGTCATCCTCTGGTTTTCAATTTCCTCTCTGTTTTTTGTGCTCCGTGTCCGCCGTCGCTTTCTTCTTCCGGTAGACGGCGGTGGCGGCGGCGTGTAGACAGCTCCTCCGGGAATAGGCTGATTAATCGAACATTCCTCCGGTGAAGCCTCCCAATTCGCGGCGAATTTTGTGTCCTCTGTTTGCGTTTCAGGCACTCCAAGAAAGGGTTTTTGTTGTTCTAATTGGAAGCCATGGTCGTAGCCGGCCCAAGCTCCTCCTCCTCCTCCGCCGTAAGAACAGACATCCCTGCAGACATAAGTAAATGGATCTTGTGGGAAAACCACCGCTTCCAACGCCATTATCAACGATGACTCTGTTTTTTGTTCTTCTGGATCATAAAAACAGAGCACGAATTGTATAGAGAAAAGGAGAGAACTTTGGGGTTAAAATTCACCCAGAATTGAAAGAAATAAGAAGAAGAATCAAAATCAAGGAGAAAATTGAAAAGGGTAAGAGCTTTCTTTAAAAAAATGGGGTGAAACAGAGCATTAGAAGCGAACAAAGTGCACGTGAGAATGCATTGTGTATGAGTACGACAGGGAAAGAGAGGAATCTGGGTGTTGCTGCAAATAACACATTGGGTTGAGGTCTGGGCTTAGTTATTAGTCGATTATAAGCTTTTATTTTACTCAACTTGCTGCGCATTTCAGCATTTAATTAATATAAACAAACAGAATTTGGGTCTCTGTTCTACCTCTCCTGTCTCTCTACGGCCGCGTTTCGCTCCAACTCTGTTTAAAAATGGTTATAATAAATAATACCTTCTTTTCAACGCCACAAGGAGGAGATTTTCGATTTAAATGGAGAATTAAAGAAGGATTTTACAACATTTTTTAGAATAATATTCTCGTCCCCTTTCCACCGTTAGCATATATTTCCCTTTCAGGTTTCCTCTCAAATCTTTAAAACGTTGTCTGCTACGAGAAGGTTTCCACACCCTTATAAAGTTTGTTCTTCTTCTCAACCAACGTGGGACATCACAATCCACCCTCCTTTGGGAGTCAGCGTCCTCGCTGGCACTCCTTCCTTTAATCGATGTGGGACCGCCACCAAATCCACCCCCTTCAAAGACCAACGTCCTTACTAGCACATCACCTCGTGTCTACCTCCCTTCGGGGAAGAGCGAGAAGACTAACACATCGTCCGGTATCTGGCTCTAATACCATTTGTAACGACCTAGACCCACCGCTAGTAGATATTGTCCTCTTTAGGCTTTCCTTTTCGAACTTTCCCTCAATACTTGTGCTCAAAGAAGGTTTCCACAAATGGTGTTTTGTTCTCATTCTCAACCAAAGTGGACATCACAATATATATATATTTTTTGAAAAAGTATAAACTTTAAAATATATATTTTTTAAATAATAAACCGAGAAAAATTACTGGTGAAAACTCGATTCCCGCAAATTTCTCATGAGTAATTCCCATTCCCATTCCAATCTCCGCAAAAATAAATAAATGAAGAATGAAATATGTAGTAAAAATAAGATGGAGAAAGTTTCCAGCAGACATCTCTAATTTTTAAGACATTTCTTGTTACTTTTATTTTTTTTTAATATTAAATTTTAAATAACATATTTCAATCATATTAAATGAACTAGTTGAGTCACGACTGATCTTATTTGATTTTTTGTATAATAATTTTATTACAAGTATATATTAAAATAAATGGGTTTGAATATTTATAAATTGAATTTTGGTTGTAAATTTAAAATCACAAATTATAAAACCAAATGATTACACCAACTTGTTAGATTGAAATATAAAAATAATTTCAATTGGATCAATACATTATATTCTAATCTACATTATTATTATTATTATTATTATTCTTAAATCTTGTATATTTATGTATATTTATGCACAAATAAGAACAAATTTATGTATATTTCAATGTTTTTTTTTTTTTTTTTTTTTTTTTTTTTTTTTTTTTTTTTTT